AGTGTATCTCTGAGAAGAGTGACAGAAATAAAATTGATTGTTGCAGAGTAGAAAGATCGCATCTGGATGATTGTGTTGTAATTGTCTGTGTTGGTCCGCTTGTATATAAAATCAGAGATATTTTCTTTGTGAGAAAAGTTTTACTGAATTCGTTGCCCATGAAGTATATAAGTTGTACCAGACGGGTTATTTGTATTGTCGATAGGTGATGTTCAAAGTTATAAATTACGATTTTCGCAGGTTTTTTGCGTTTTCAAAAAGTTTGAGAAGCACAGGAAATCACCACCGCGCCTGCGTCGTGTGTAATTAAGCTACATCACAGAAAAATTAGTAATGATGCATCACACATAAAACATTCTCGCAGTGCCTCACATCTAGGCGCTGATTTGCATTGTCTAATTGAAATCGCAAAGTAAATTTCTATTAAATTCAAATGACTGGAAATGAAAATTAATGTGAATTGTAATAACTTTTTCATGTTTCATAAATATTCCTGTATGTACCATATTTACTCACCTGTTAATCTAATATACTTCACCAACAAAGTATTTTCTTCTCTTATCGCTTTCTTTTTTTTAAATTCAGCAAATTTGCATATGTAATTTCCAAGAAAAAGCGGATGCGCAGCTAATTATTAGTTTTGCATACATCTCAAGTAAGTGTATTTCAGACAAGAAACCGTTGGAATTATCATGAACACACAAATCCTCACTACGCACCTATGCACTGCCGTTTCATTCCAGCTACAGTATACAACTTTCAGCTTAGACCTTCAATAATGTCATCTCTGAAGCAGATGTTGCACCACATCAGACCCAAACATTGATAGCTGAAGCATCATGACGTTCAGGCAACACGTACAGCTGCAGAACGAGTACACAACAAGTGTACAATAGCTAGAGCGAAGTTGACATCTTGTAGAAAAACCTACATAATGCAAAGCATGCGTATCTATATATTGCTTGCATTTGCTTCTGAATTTGCAATAGTTACAAACCTTCCGTATATAAAAATTGACTGACCGCACGTTGATTATATTTGGACGTTAAACACAAATGACATGAACTAATGAGTGTGACGTTTACAAATACAACATTATAAAACGATTGTTTTCAAGGCTAACCTGATCAAAGATGGGTTTCAATTGAACAACCCTCGTATATATATATATATATACAGGGTTATCCAAATTAAGAGTCCACCATTGGTAACTTTGTTATTAGTAAAAATACAAAGTTGTTTAAATTAGCAAACTAGTAGCATATTTAACGCTGGTAAAAATGAGAAATAAAAAAAAACAATTGAGAGTCGTTATTTTGATTTTTTTCAGTAAAATAACATTTTTTTAAATGGAAACCCGTGTATATTATATTTTTTTCTGTTAAAGCATCAAATTTTAAACAAAAAAGTTCATAATGACTTTTCCGCTAAAGTCAAAAATAAAGTCAAAATAACGATAAATATTTTTAATTATTTGCAGTATTATAATATTAAGACGGCTATGAAAACAACATGGCGTTCGCGATTTGACAGCATTAAGATAAGCGACAAATTGTTAAACTGGACATACTCGCAACTAGAAGGCTTTGGAAAACAATGATAAAATCAAATAATGTCAAACATTAGTGTAAATACTTGTTTATAAGCTTTATTGTGTCATTAATTTAAAGAAAAATGTTCTCCCATGAAGAAAAGTGTGATATGTTAGAATGCTATTTAGTGTGCAGAAAATCCTCCTTGAGAGCAAGAGTGAATTATATCCCGCTCGCATTCAACCGTATGAACGATATTTTCTGAGACTTTATCGAACATTTAGGGGCAACGGAAATGTTTTTGCTAAAACAAGGGCAAAAAAAGAATTCATAATAAGCGAGGCCACGGAAATTGCAGTTATTGGATATTTTGAAGCTTATCGTGAGAATTCAATAGCAGATATTCTCAAGGACTCTAATTTCAGTTATGGTACTGTTCAATGGATTTTAAAAAAATACAAATTTATTCCGTATAAGTACCGACCAGTTCAAACGCTTTTGGCAGGGGATCCAGAGAGAAGACTTGTTTTTTGCCATTGGTATCTTAGCTTCTGTCGCCAAAATGTAAATAACTTTCGTTACCTTTTATGGACAGATGAATCAAATTTTTCAAATTCTGGAATGTTTAATAGAAAAAACCACCATTATTGGTCAAGAGAAAATCTTTTGTTAGTACATCCTAGAGGCCCACAAGTCCGTTTCAGTTTCAACGTTTGGTGCGGTATAATTGGTTCAAAAATTGTTGGCCCGTTCTTTTATGAGGGAACCCTAACTGGTGAAAGATATGTGGAATTTATGTCAGAAATTCTGACTAATTTCTTAGACGAATTGGATCTTATAAGTAGACATCATCTGCATTTTCAGCAAGATGGCGCACCTGCCCACAACTCCAGAGGTACTTATCATTTTCTAAGTACTACTTTTAATGATCAGTGGATAGGAACAAATGGCCCAATACAGTGGCCTCCCAGATCACCAGATCTAAACCCACTTGATTACTTCTTGTGGGGTTACTTAAAGAACCAAATTTACAAGCGAAGGTACGATAACCTTGACGCGTTAAAGACTGCAGTTAGGGAAAAGATAACCCAGATAGATGGTAGGACAATACTTAAGACAGTTCGAGCAGTTGAAAAACGTGCCCAAAAATGTATTGAAGAACAAGGTGGTGTTTTCGAGCATCTTCTTTAAAAAAAATTGTTATTGTATTTTGTAAGATTATAAGTTGATGTTGAAAATAAAGTTTGTCGATACAATTTAATTGTTTCAGATTGGAGGCCATAACTTCAACAATTTGTAACCTAGGAGAAAAGTTATTGTAAGCTTTTTTGTTTAAAATTTGATGCTTTAACAGAAAAAAATATAATATATAGGGGTTTCCATTTAAAAAAATGTTATTTTACTGAAAAAAATCAAAATAACGACTCTCAATTGTTTTTTTTTATTTCTCATTTTTACCAGCGTTAAAAATGCTACTAGTTTGCTAATTCAAACAACTTTGTATTTTCACTAATAACAAAGTTACTAATGGTGGACACTTAATTTGGATAACCCTGTATATATATACAGGGTGTTTCAGTTTATTGTTGCACAACTTTAAGATTCGATAGAACTTTTAAAATTAATGCATAAAGTCTATATAAACATGGGTCGAAAAATGCGTGGCTTCCGAAATACAGGGTGTTCAAATTTACTTTCTAAAATAGTTTTTTTTAAATATTTCGAACAATATTTGATGTATAATAGTGGAAATTGGTATACAAGGGTTTTTTTGGTACGACAAAACGAACCATGGGCATAGTTTTACTGTAGCCGCTAGAGGGCGCTCTCTACTGTACCTGTAGTGTATTAAAATGACCGAAATTTTTTTCTTATTGCAATTTTTTGCTTTTTGAATAAAAAAACTGATCCTTCGCACTTTTCAACATAAAAAAGCTCTCTTGTGAATTTTCGTTATAGTTAGCCGTTTTTGAGATATTTCGATTTTTAAGGTTCGAGGCATTTTTAACACATTCACCGCCAGGGCGGACACCAGTGTCCGCTGCGTTGTCGGCTTATTACGCCAGGGAGGACACCGGTGTCCGCCAGGTTTAAAAAGCAATATGTCCCCGGAAATCCTAAATCTCATAAATGTCTTGATATTAAAGTATTATTTTTGGCCTCTAGAACGGTCTTCTGACCGTGGTTTTCTAAAGAAGTGTTTTGTTAAAATTTTTTGGAAAGTGTCCGCCACGGTGTCCGCTGTGGCGTGTAAAAAAGTTTTAGAAGCATCTGTACTCAAGGCGCCAGAGCGGACACATTTCTTTCCATAAAAATATAGACTATACTCAGGGTTACTAAAACTTTACTATTTTGTTGGAACAAACATTTTTAACATTTTTTTTCGTACAAAAGATGTTAAAAAAATTCTTCCTTATAGAGTGTTATATGAATACATTACATAACAAACATTTCAACATATTTTTATGCCTACAAAAAAAATGGCAAAAAGTTCCTATTTATTATAGCCCTTATTAAAACATTCCAAACAGTATCGAGGTTGACAAGTTTTACAAAAAGTGGTAACTTTTTTTACTTTGTTTTTCGGTATTTCATTTTTTAATTTCTTCTTATATCAACCCCTACAGTACCTTCTTCTGACTCTTGAGTTTCCTGGCTGTTTCTCAAATACATGTGTTTTTTTTTGAACATTGGGATCAGTCAATGGTCTATCTAGGACCTTATCAATTATCGCTTCACGAAAATCTAACAAACTTATTTTATTTCCTGTGACTTCCTCATACAGCAAATGAGAATTGACAATCGCAGTGCCCAGTATAATTTCATTGGCAATTTTGTGGTACCATTTAACGGTTTTTCGTACGCAAGATCCATAGCTTGCAAATTGATCTGAAAGATCAACTGAAGATTTGCCTTTGTTATAGTCAACTACCATTAAGGGCTTTACTATTTCTTTGCCTCTTATTTGTATTGTCAATTTGAAAATTTTCACGCCGTATTTATGGGCCTTATTAGGAATGTATTGTTTAAAAATTAATGTGCCTCTAAAGGGTATTAAACTTTCATCTATGCAGAAAACTCTAGCTGGTGTATAGAACATTTGACTGTTGCATATCAATTTGTCCACCAAAGATTGCACTTTATGCAGTCGACTATTTGAAGCATTAGACTGATTATCCGAAAAGTGAAGCATAGCTAATATTAGCTCGAAGCGATTTCTTGGCATGAATTTTCCACAAATCTGGTTTTTGTATTTGGAATTAGTACTCCAATATCTCTCCAAAGTGGGCATTTTTACCAAACCCATATAAGCAATAATACCAAAAAAAATTTTTATTTCGGATACAGTAGTTGAAGTCCATGAGTGAAATTTAGATGATTTTCCAAAATCTGAATCTTCTGACATCAAGCGCTGAGAAGCAAATAAATTTGTTTGTTCAACAATCATTTCAACAATCTCATCATTTATCAGCGATTATAGAAGTCATGGGGTTCTCCTTCTCCAAGCAAACTTATTATAGCCTCGTTGATACAGTTGCCGGGGATGTATTCAAAATTATTTTGATGAATCGAAGGAGGTCCATCATCGTAATTAATTTCTTGAATAGACTTTCTGAGAACAGGACTGGGTACAAAGTCCTGCATTTCATTTTGATTTTGAAAAGGTGAAAACTCCATGTAACCTGGACCCCCGTCACTGCTTTCAGTGTCACTCCCATTTGGTGAATAATTTTGATCTCGAGAATCATCAGAGTCATGGTACGTATCTAGAAAGAACCTGAAAGTAACGTATATAGTTTTTACCCAGCACATCAGCACAGTTATTCTATTCAATTGGAAATTTCTTTATTTTCGATGAATAAATAGTTAAGGAATTGAAGCTTTGAACTTGAGTATAACAAGTAGACGTAATACTCCCTCGAAGTTTCTTTTCATCGCACGTATTCAGAGCCTTTCCTTGTCACAAGTATGGAATTGCTTCAAAATAAATAACAATACAAAGCTACTAGTAGAAAAACAGTAACCTTGAATATATGGTATTCTAAATATAACCAATGAATCAGGTATTACGAGTAACCCCTGGTGAATACAGTAAATCTCTATTTTTATATTAAACGACAAACCCGTACAAATAAGTGATTAGCTATCAAGTTTTTTTTTTTGCAAAAATATTGCATGCGCTAAATACCACAGAGTACGTGTTATCTACACTACTATTTTATGGAAATACTATAACATAAATAAAAACGTACCTTCCATGTCAAAATCACTATCAGAGTCTTCATTCTCATTCTTTTCCACAAGGGACATGATATGTCATGTTCTACTGCTCATTATGACTTTCGTATCGAACAAATTAGAATAAATACGCGGAAAACCAATGACAAGGTATTTCGCACGAGATGCGCCTCGTGTCCGCTGACTAATTTGTGTCCGCTATTGTGTCCGCCACGGCGTGGCCAAATGGAAAAAAATTGTCCGCCCTGGCGTGATACGACCGAAAAATTATTTTTTTACGAACGGCGCCAGGGCGGACACCAGTGTCCGCTGAATCGCTCTTATGGGTGGCGTACTGGGAAGTTTTATGAAAATCGACTTGGCGGTGAATGTGTTAATTATTTATGATAAAATAACGTTAAAAAGTCAGTATCTCGATGATTTTTAGAAGTAGGCTGTGCCTGCAAATATTTTTGAAATTGAAAGCAGAATAAGGTTAAACGTCAATTAGTTGACACTTAGTTTTGTTGTCTGTTGAAACTTGAAACGTTTTTTTGCAATTGTGAATGCACGAAATTTAGTTTCTTTTACCTGTTTTTTTGTAAGTTTTACAAAAATGCCATTTTTATTCTCCAATCAAGAGTTAGCGGATATTCATTTTGTGTATGGCTTTGTAAATGGAAACGCAGCAGAAGCAGCCAGAGTCAGTGGATTCTTGATAGAACTGATAATAATAGGGAGTTTTTAAGTAACGTTTTATGGACCGATGAGTCATGCTTCACTAGACGTGGAGTGGTAAATTTTCACAATCAACATATTTGGTCGCATGAAAATCCGCATGCAGTTCGGGAAAGAAATTTTCAGCATGAATTTAGTGTGAACGTGTGGATTGGTATCTACCGTAATGGACTATTTGGACACTACCTTTTGCCTGCAAGGTTAAATGCTGTGACCTTCTTGGAATTTTTAAAGGCTGAACATGCAAATATGTGGGATGATGTTATGTTGGATTTAAGAAGATTGGCCTGGTTCCAGCTTGATGGTTGTCCAGCTCATTATTCGAGAATAGTTAGAAACTGGCTGGACGAATATTATCCAGAAAGATGGATCGGCCGTGGAAGACCAGTCGCCTGGACTCCACGATCCCCTGACCTAAATCCATTAGATTTCTTTGTGTGGGGATTTCTAAAAGAAAAAGTGTACCAGACTCCCGTAACCACAAAAGATATGCTAATAGACAGAATCATGAATGCATGTGATGAAATAAGGCCTTATTTGAATAATGCTATACCACGTTCGATCATTCGTAGATGTGAATTGTGTATTGAACAATTGGGTTTACATTTCGAGCAACTACTTTAGATTTTGTATGTTTGTCCTAACTATCCAATAGCATTTTAGTTGTGAATAATTAATTTAATTTGTTAAAAATAATATTGAAAAATTAAACAAATTAATATTCTGTTGTTTTGTGTTTATTGGGAGTTAGGAATTATTGCTGTGTTTAAAAACACAATCTAAACGATCATCTTAATTACTTGTAATGCCCAAATCTAAAATGTAAAAACAAATATTATTTTCCCATAAATAATTAAAAATGCATCGAACCTTAAAAATCGAAATATCTCAAAAACGGCTAACTATAACGAAAACTTACAGGAGAGCTTTTTTATGTTGTAAAGTGCAAAGAATCAGTTTTTTATTCAAAAAGCAAAAAATTGCATTAAAAAATTTTTTTATATATATATATATAAATATTATATATATATATATATACGTATATATATATATATTATATTTATACAGGGTGTCCCAGAAGTCGACGTCAAGCCGAAACCGGGTGATAGGCAAAGTCATAACAGCTATCAGAAAAATATTTAAAAAAATTTTATGTATGTGTTTTGAAAATTATAGGTCTTTGAAAAAAATATAGAAATTTCACATCCTACGGCAGTCTGTCAACTCCTGTTACTACAAATATTAAATTTTTTTGGATTTTATTTTTACAATGTAATGATGAATAACGCATCTTTAAACTGGTGTCTCAACCTTACTGCCAACTTTTCTCGTTCAGGAAAAATTGCCTCTTATTTCCCAACCAAGTATTCCAAAGTAAAACTTTGCTCAACTTTAACTGGCTGTACTGAAAAAAAATGTACTACGAGAGTTTGGCAAGTAACCTTAAAAGTTGGCGCATTTAATAAGGATTCCAAAATGGTATAACACTTAGAAGATTACTCGTTAACTTATGCACAATTTTTATTTGAAGAAAAACTGATGAAAATATTTCAAAATTTCCTAATTAAACGCACAAAGACCCTTAAGGATAACTGTTTGCACAACAGTGGGCGTCAAAATGCTGCTGATGATGATTTACCTTTACAGCAAATGCTCAAACTGTTTTCCTTCAGCCGCAATACACGCTCGACATCTTCTTAAAAAAGATCTGGTTATTAAACGAGCGAAACCACGGTTATTAACAAACTCAGCTGCTTCCAATAGTCTTTGCCGTAGCTCAGCTACATTTTGAATCGGCTTGAAATACACTTTTTCTTTTACAGTTCCCCAGTAAAAAAGATCTAACGGATTCAAATCTGGTGACGGGCTGGCCACGGTATTGTACCAGACCGCCCTATCCATCTGCCTGGAAAGTTTTGATCGAGATACTCTCTCACTGAGAGTGCATAGTGCGCTGGGCAGCCATCATGCTGAAACCACATGTCCCTGTAAATACTCAGTGGCACGTCCTCCGATAAATTTTCTAAATGATTTTGCAAAAAACCTAAATAAACCTCAGCAGTCAAAGTCTCTGGGAACTCAAACGGACCGATTATTTTACCATTTAAAATTCCTGTCCAATGGTTTATCTTGAAGCGATATTGAGATTTATCTTCTCTCATCAAATGTGGGTTTGCTACGTGCCCCTCGTGTAAGTTATGCAGGTTCATGTACCCATCTTTCTTAATTGTGGTCTCATCCGACCATAAAATTTTTTCAAAGAACCGTGGATCTTCCCTGTGTCTTTCTAACACTGTGCGACAAAAAGCAACTCGGGGCTCATAATCCCGGGGCAGAAGAGCTTGAACACGCTGTACGTGATACGGATGGAGCACGTTTTTTTGCAAGATTCTATGGGCTGTACTTTTGGGCACACCTGTTTTTAGTTCTATTGCACGCACTGAAGTACTCGGGTCTTCTTCGACAGCTCCTAGCACCACGTCTTCGTAAGGAAGGAAAGATCTTCCCTCACCGTGTGATTGGTTTGGTAGTTGGCCCTCTGAGAAAAGTAAGCGGTGCACATTTGTGAACACTCGATGATCTGGATGACGAGCTGCATTCGGCTACCTCTCACAGTCTCGCTGCAGCACTAGCGTTGCATCTGCATTCCCCATAAATGAGGTGCATGTTAGCATATTCTTGTACGGTGTACACGGACATAGCGGCACTGCACAATCACACCATCAAAGATAATCTAAGGAAAGCAAATGTTTTGAAGAGCAATTAAGCAGCCCAAATCCAAATCACAAGCGATCAACAGTCCAGTTCACGAATCCAAAATTAGTAACAGTACGAAATCAACAAGCACGAACATGTAAAGATGCGCAGTAAACGAAGGAGTACTGATCGGTATCAAAGTGTGCAATAGCAAGTAAGTGATGTGCATCATCCATACCATACATACAGCGTGTTCAACCTCTCCTGCTCCGGGATTATGAGCCAAGAGTTGATTTTTGTCGCGCAATGTTAGAAAGACACA